TGGGAAATCAGACAGACCTCTTCCCAGATGCTGATTTCCGACCTGTTCACGATGACATCCTCATTGCACTGTTGCGACCTGGCCAGGAAATAGATGTGCTTATGCACTGTGTCAAGGGTATAGGTGAGTTGTGGGTCTATAGGTGACCTGGGGCAGCGGGAGGAGGAGTATGGGTGCTTGGACTCAGGTGCAGTTGTGTGAAGGGGAAAGGTGGAAAACTGGGATTCCCCCTGCAGCTTTAGGCCCCGGCATCCTTGCACGCTCATTTTCTGAGGCCTGCCCTCATCCTTGACTCTTAACTCTTCATGCAGGTAAAGATCATGCCAAGTTTTCTCCTGTGGCCACGGCGAGTTACCGACTGCTTCCCGACATTACTCTCCTGCAGCCTATTGAGGATGAGGCAGCCGAGATGTTGCAGAAGTGCTTTTCCCCTGGAGTCATTGAGATCCAGAATATCAAGGGTACTTTTCTCCTGCCCTTAGTGCCTTGTTCCTTAGGAGCCTTAGCAGAAACTGGTTATAGAAACTAGAGCCAAACACTGTAGAAGCAAGACCAAGTCGTGATGTTGCCTTGCAGATTGGCAGCCGTTCATGTTATTCTGAGCCTGGTTTTAGGGATGAGTGGCTGTCACATGCAGATGTGTTGGGTGATGAACTGGGGCCTTCCTGAAATGCAGATGTGTTGGGTGCCTTACTGCAGAGTTCTGCAGCTGCTGACTGCAGCTTTCAGTCCTGTTCAGTTGTCTGTAAGACTGGGTGGTGAGCTTGCTCTTTCCAGCAACTGAGCATGGAGAAGACTTCTTGTGTCCTGCCCAGGAGAACATAAAAGCGCTGTGTTTGAGTTAGAACTGTTCAAGAAGACCGGTTCTGTCAGGTTGCAGTTTCATGTTGAGGATGTGCTAATTCTTCATGTTGGGGATGTGCTTTTCTGCCCTTGCTGATGGGGGGGTGATGCATGTTTGAGGGGCAAGCACCTCCTTGATACAGGTATTTTAAAAGAGAATATTGGTGATTGTGATTTGTTTAAAGAATGAAAATACTGTTAAGGCCCTTTTTTGTCACATGAATACAGATTTCAGGTGCAAGCACAAGGCATCCATCTGCTGCAGGTGCCCATCTCATTTCATCTTTTCCCCTTTAGGAAAAAAGGTGGCAAGAGTAGCCAATGCACGATTGGACACATTCAGCAGAGAAGTTTTCCGTCATGAGGGTCTGAAAAACCTTGTGCGCTTGGCAAGAGTACGAAACCACTACATCTGTAAGTGCCCCATTTTCCGCAGAACATAGAGCCCTGCTGTGGTTTGTGCTCGCAAACAATTAGAGACTGGCCAGCATCTATTGCTGGGTCTCTGCCCCCTTCTTCATCTCCTCATCATCAGCATTCACATATTCTTATCCTGGTGGTGATGACTGAGTTTGTGGTTTGGTGTTGCTTTGGGATTGAACATGTTTGTGCACCTCTTCTCCTCTCTCTGTGGAAATCTGGCTTGTCTGAAGTGCGCTGTAAGGGAGGATGAGGGACAGAAATGCTGGAATCAGGTGTAGGCTGAAGCTGCCCGGTGGCGGTGCTGACTTGTGTCTCTGCTGACTTGTGTCACTGCAGTTTCAGTGGAGTCGACGGGTATCTTGCCTCCAGATGTGTTGGTGAGCGAAGCTATCAAGATCCTGATGGGAAAGTGTCAGCGCTTCCTGAATGAGCTGGACTCTGTGCCTATGGAGTGACCAGGCCATAGCTGGGAAGCGTATCCCTGCACTGCGGGCTTTCTGCACCTGCCTGCAGGGGTGATCCCTCTTCCATAGGCAAGAGGTTTGAGATGGGCTTGTTAAGAGCCCTAGGACCATCTCTTTGAATTTGTTTATTGTTGTTAATGAGCCTCAGTGAGGAGATGCACTAAAATAAAGGCTTTTCTTTACAGCTGTCTCATTCCATGCCGTTAACAATCGTTGAGACTGTAATACACAGAGAAGAAAGTGGCGTCAGTTCTAAAGATGAATAAAAGCATTTATTTTAGCTTGTGTGCAGTATGTGATGAGGACTGACTGATACAGCGGCGTAGTAAAGCACTCTGCAGCAGGTCAGTGAGCTTTGACAAGTGCATATCAGTGCAGGGCTGGTGTACAGGTGTCTCAAACTCCAGGGCAGTTAATGTGGTAGATAAAAGGCTGGGACACCTCTCCTATGAAGAAAGGTTGGGGCTGTTCTGTCTGGAGAAGAGAAGGCTCTGAGGAGACCTTATTGTGGCCTTTCAATATATAAAGGGAGTATGGAGAAAGGCTTTTTGTTAGGGCCTATAGTGACAGGACAAGGTGTGACAGCTTTAGACTGGAAGAGGGTAGACTTAGACTGGACATAAGACAGTGCTGTAGTGAAGATGGTAGAGAGATCATAGACTGGCCTAGGTTGGAAGGGACCTTAGAGATCATTTAATCCAACCTCCCTGTCCTGGGCAGGGTCGCCACCTCTGGACTAAACCAGGCAGCACATGGGGACTGAGATGCTGGAACACAGTGCTCAGAGAAGCTGTTGATGCCCCTCTCCCTGCAAGTGTTCAAGGCCAGGTTGGATGGGGCTTTGAGCAGCCTGGGCTAGTGGGAGGTGTCCCTGCCTGTGGCATGGGGGTTGGAACTAGGTAGTCTTTGATTGTCCCTTGCAGCCCAAACCATTCTGTGATACAGTACTAGGCTTCTCTGTGCAAAGCTGTGGTTTAAAAACATGTTCTGTCAGGACTGACAGTCTGTTCTTAAATATCTTGAGGCAAGGCGTTTCTTTTCAGGTGTTGACTACTCCATTTGCCCTTTCAGTGACTTAGTGGAGTTGGGCTCACCTTGAAGCAGAACTGGATGGTGCAGGCCGAGACAGTGAAAGGCCTGTCTCTACCCAGGGAAGCCTGGGAGAAGTTGCAGGTTGGTCTCAGTAGTGAGCACTACTGGCAGTCAGCACCAGGTGGGTCTTGCCTTGTGAAAGTCTCACTTGACAAACGGATGAAGGAAGGGGGAGGGACCTGTCATGCAAGCTTCATCAGGTAAGGACACAGACCAAAGGCAATAGCTGCATCACCTTCCACTGTTACTGAAAGGGTCAGCTGAGAGAGTTACAGCTGAGCTACAGGACTGTCACAAGATATTGCTCTAGGATTGGGTTCAGAGGCTACTTGAGTAGCGCACACACCTTCCCATGCTGTTCTCTTGTGTATTTCCCGTACTGCTGATGGAATGTACCCTGAAATAATAGCCTGTCAAAGGGTTTTGCTTTAGCAGCACAAGACCCTTCAAGCTGTGGCTCCTAGTGGCTATTGTGGAATTAATATAAACCCGCTGCAAGTACCATATAAATACTTTAAAATGCAATTTCTCTCTTTGCCTTCCAATTTGACCTGGAATGGTCCACAAACACCCCCCCCCCCCCAAAAAAAAACAAAGGTAGTCAGTCTTTAGTAGGAGGACTAAGGAATGCTGAACAATCCTTAGGAAGGCAGTCTGGGCAAAGCAGAGGTCTCAGATCTTACAGAAATGGATAAAAGAGTAAAATGAAACGTGACACCACATGTATGAAACTTGAATAGCTTTACTGACATTCAGAGGTGTAACACAACCAGTTCAGAGACAGCTTCGGATTTAAACATTCCTACAAAAAAGGTTCTAAAAACCATTTAAAAAAACCCCCTTGTGTCTAGCATGATGTCACAGAATGTTAAAAATATCACAACACAATAAATATACCCAGCCTCTGCTAGAGCCAGGAGTCATGTTAGCTCAGAGGTTAAAAAAGTTTGAGGCCAGGAGGAAAGTGTAGGGTGCTGGTAGAAGAGCAGGAGGGCAAATGGAGTCCCAAGGCCTGCTCTTCACTTCTGTGCTCCCACCCCTCCCAACCCCAGCTTTTCTGTCCAGTCTGTCCAAGCAGAGACACCACCTTCTGCACCCACCGCAGTTTATTACTTGTTCTGTCTCCTGGAAGGCAAAGTGCCAGCTAGCTCTGGGCAGACTGCACTAAAGCTAGGATAGATCCCAGCTCCTGCACTAACGCTAGGAGAGATCGAGCGAACCATGTGTCATCTAAGAACCAGCTTTGCAGACTGGAGTGGCCCAACAGAGTCCCACCTCATCTAAACCCAGTTTCTGACCTGGGTCCCCACCCTGTAAACTGCAATATAAACCCCACACATCCTGCCCCACCACACAATTCTCTGGGAAGTACCAGCTGGGTAAAAACATAGGCTACTGTCACCTCCACAGCAACAGGGTGAGGAGAGATCTTTTGGTTTGCAGGCGCTTCACATATTGGTCCAGATTTTGTGTACCCTGCACTGGCCACGTTCTAGTCTACAGGGCATGGTAAAAATCAAAAATAATTAAAAAAAATCTGTCCTGCTCCCCCTGAGAGACGTCCAAGAAAGGCTGGCATAAAGTAAAAGCCTTCCATTTGGCTCTGGGTAGAAGCAGCTGTATGATCATATACATATATATGCATATATATCTGTATGACAGGGTCTGCCTCTTTCTAGAGAGCAGCTGCACCTTAGAAAGGCTGATCTCGAGGGAGATCCTAGAGCACTGCTAGGCTGCCTGGCATGCAGCCCTCAGCCCACGGCTCAGCATCCTGGAGGGAAACAGGCTCATCAGAATACCAGTCTGCGAGGGACAAGTGCCAACAGGCATGACAGGAGTGTCTGATCTGTTCCCTACAAAGCTTGGCTACTAGCACCCAGAGGAAGATTAGAGTAGCCCCTTTTCACGTGGCACACTACTCTGCCTTTTGTGGTAATCCCAAACCCCAAGGGATTAAGAGGTGGAGCAAGAGTGACCCAAGACTACAGGATGACCAGGCTTTACCTAACAGAGTCTATGGGCTCAGCTCCCACCTTGTGGAGAAGCAGAGGTCTAAAGCTGCTCATCCAGTGGAGGGTAGGGGAAGGAATGAGGGAAAGCTTAATAGACTGGTTCAAATGCCACCGCAGGCCCCATCCCCGT